GCAGAATTATTCTCAAGATTTCTCTGGAAAATCCCTCACATTTGCTACAGTGCCAGTTTGCAGACACGGAGACCCTGTATAAATCCAGTAGAGGTGTCCTTGGCCCACTGGCACTGGAAAGGAATTCAAGAATCAGTGACTGCAGGCCCAGGAGAGGATTCCTGACTCTGTAAATAGAGTTTTATTAGAGCATAGCCTTACCTACTCATTGTCAGTTATCTGTGGCTACATTGGAGCTAAGAATGCAGACGTGAGTGACTGCAGCATAGAACAGCTGTCCCATGAAACCTAAAATATTTGCTGTTTGGCCCTTTAAGAAAAAATTTGCTGACCCCTGGAATAAATTACTACTTCTTTAGGTGAATGAACAGTCAGGGTTGGGTTGCTTTTGAGACCTGGTACAAAAATACACGAGAACTGCATGATACATTTTGGTCTAAGAGGCATGGAGGACCAGAGAGCACCCGAGGACGTGGCGTGTCCTCTAAACCACAGTGCTCACTCAGGTGATGCCCGCTTGGCGGTGTGCTTTGTTTGCTTTTTATAAAGCAGTGTTTTATGTTTAATTGTGAGGACTACCCTAGTGCTTTGTCCTGCCTTATGATTTAATTTTTATTTTTTTATGTCCTTGAAAAACAGATAACTGTCATCTGATGTAGTGTTTTTATTTATTTTTTATTTTTTTATTTTTTGATGTAGTGTTTTTAATTCGCTTCAGTTCTGTTCAGTCGCTCAGTTGTGTCCGACTCTTTGCAACCCCATGAACCGCAGCACGTCAAGCCTCCCTGTCCATCGCCAACTCCCAGAGTCCACCCAGACCCATGTCCGTCGAGTCGGTGATGCCATCCAACCATCTCATCCTCTGCCGTCCCCTTCTCCTCCTGCCCCCAATCTTTCCCAGCATCAGGGTCTTTTCAGATTAGTCAGCCCTCACATCAGGTGGCCAAAGTATTGGAGTTTCAGCTTCAACATCAGTCCTTCCAATGAACACCCAGGACTGATCTGCTTTAGGATGGACTGGTTGGATCTCCTTGCAGTCCAAGGGACTCTCAAGAGTCTTCTCCAACACCACAGTTCAAAAGCATCAATTCTTCAGCACTCAGCTTTCTTTATAGTCCCACCCCTCACATCCATACATGACTGCTGGAAAAACCATAGCCTTGACTAGATGGACCTTTGCTGGCAAAGTAATGTCACTGCTTTTTAATATGCTTTCTAGGTTGGTCATAACTTTCCTTCCAAGGAGTAAGCGTCTTTTAATTTCATGGCTGCAACCACCATCTGCAGTGATTTGGGAGCCCAGAACAATAAAGTCAGCTACTGTTTCCACTGTTTCCCCATCTATTTCCCATGAAGTGATGGGACTGGATGTCATGATCTTAGTTTTCTGAATGTTGAGCTTTAAGCCAACTTTTTCACTCTTCTCTTTCACTTTCATCAATAGGCTCTTTAGTTCTTCTTTGCTTTCTGCCATAAGGGTGGTGTCATCTGCATATCTGAGGTTATTGATATTTCTCCCGGCAATCTTGATTCCAGCTTGTGCTTCTTCCAGCCCAGCGTTCCTCGTGATGTACTCTGCATATAAGTTAAATAAGCAGGGTGACAATATACAGCCTTGATGTACTCCTTTTCTTATTTGGAACCAGTCTGTTGGTCCATGTCCAGTTCTAACTGTTGCTTCCTGAACGGCATACAGGTTTCTCAAGAGACAGGTCAGGTGGTCTGGTGTTCCTATCTCTTTCAGAATTTTCCACAGTTTATTGTGATCCACACAGTCAAAGGCTTTGGCATAGTCAATAAAGCAGAAATAGATGTTTTTCTGGAACTCTCTTGCTTTTTCGATGATCCAGCGGATGTTGGCAATTTAATCTCTGGTTCCTCTGCCTTTTCTGAAACCAGCTTGAACATCTGGAAGTTTATGGTTCACGTATTGCTGAAGCCTGGCTTGGAGAATTTTGAGCATTACTTTACTAGTGTGTGAGATGAGTGCAATTATGTGGTAGTTTGTGCATTCTTTGGCGTTGCCTTTCTTTGGGATTGGAATGAAAACTGACCTTTTCCAGTCCTGTGGCCACTGCTGAGTTTTCCAAATTTGTTTTGTTTTCCAAATTTGTTAATTCTCTTACTGCTTTGAAAATTTCAGAGAGGTTTTTTTAGTCATAAACAGAAATGAAACTCTATTGTATTTGAATTACTTACTTAAAATACATTAAGTATAAATTAAGATTTCATGTATATCTGTTATTTCTGAAAATTCACATATTTCATCAGATATTAGTATTGTTTTTTACTCTAAAAGATTATATACTTAAAAGTTTGCTCTTTTCAAATACAGTGTTTCTAAAACTATTATAGTTTTCAATTAATTTTAGTTTCACAATGGTGGCTAAATTATTTTTGATACTGTTCTTAATTTTCTGTCTAATATTAGGGTTTTCTTTGGTCATATACAGTGATCTTTCCTTTGTCATAAGCATTTCATAGATGAGAGTATTATAATCTTTTCAAACTTTAATATGTAGTATATTTTAAATAATATCCAAAATAGACTGCTGTTTCTGTCATTAGGGAGGAAAAACATCAGTATTACTCTTCTCTCAGGTGTTTAAACATAAAAATTATACTTTAAGAATTTAGATTTTAGTTAAGAATACCTGTATACATACTATGTAATATATATATCTAGAAGTAAAGATAATTGCTGTTCTAAAAATAATACAGAATTTTTAAAAAGAGTAAACATCTTTCACCAGCCTTTCCAGGTGGTGCGAGTGGTAGAGAACCTGCTTGTCAGTGCAGGAGACCTAAGAGATGACAGGGGTTCCATCTCTGGGTTGGGAAGATCACCAGGAGGCAGGCATGACAACCCACTCCACTACTCTTGCCTGGAGAGTCCCATTTACAAAAGACCCTGGCAGGCTACAGTCCATGGGGTTGCAAAAAGTTGGACATGACTGAGCGACTTAGCAGTAAGAACGTTAACTTGTCTATTTTGCAGCCTAGTGGGCTATGGTCCATGGGGTCACAAAGAGTTGGAAACAACTGAAGCGAGTTAGCATGCACTCGACACAAACGTGTTTCATTTTATCCACTGTGAAAATGACATCAATCTAAGTAAATTCTTCTCTCTCCTGTTGTGGCAGTAAATTGTTGTCTCGACAGTAAAAATTGCTCATATATCCACATTCATCCAAAGGGCTGGCTTTTTTGATTGTTTTCCATTTTATCCTCTTAGAAAAACAGAAATATGTAATATTGAACATGGATTTAAAATCATGTGCGAACTTAGCATTTAGGTTATTTACATGTGAAATAGTTGGAATAAAGCTATGTTATTGCGTTTTATGAAAATCTTGGGGTGTTATGGTGATTTTTTGGTACTGACTGCCAAAAATGTTCACATATCTTAACTAATCAGCCTTCTGACAGCTCTGGGGCCTTTGACTTGAAAGGATCTCCAAGGCTCTTGAAAATAAAAGTGCCCCCCCCCCCATTTGGCCTTCTCTAGATAAAAAGGCATTTATTATCATTAGCAGAAATTAAATGACTGATTCACAAATGAACTTGTGGTAACCAGTGGCATCTGAGAGGGTGGATGCTAGACATTCCTGGTTTCCAGTCATCACAGTACCCCCTCCCTTGTACTGTAGAGTAAGAGAACTCCTTAAACTTCCTGTGCCTGGCTTTAGTTGTAAATGTAAAAAACCTCTTTATAGGTTAAGAGGAGAAAAAAAGGTAGTGTGAAGTGCCTTTCATATACACAGTTTATAGAGAGCTGTCTTTACAAATGGCTTTCAGTTATTCAACTTGCTTAATAAGTTGAGCGTTTAGCTTTCCTTTGTCTCACTCGCCTTCCCTGGCCCCTTTGAGAGCTCTCTCTCAGTGCCCACTGTGTACTGGTCGGTCAACTCTTGCTACTACCTGTGGCCTCAACTGTCAGTTTAAAGAGCTTCTGTTAACTTCCAGTAAAGAGCAATTGACTGAAAGTGTACTGTTTTACTGCTTCAGGTTGCTTTTCTTTGAACAGAGGATGTCTTAACCTGGGGATCCATAGAGAGACTGTATTTCAGTGTGGTTAATTTCCTTTGTAGTTCTGTGTATTTTATTTTATGCGTTTAAAAGCACTGTCTCAGAAAGGAGTCCACAGGCTTTATTTGACTATCAAAGAGGTTCATGGTACTAAAAAATAAAAAAGTTCATAATCCTTGATGGAAGAAGTCCCATAAAACTGTTGTTGGTTGACTGGTAGAAGTCATCTGTATCAGCTGACCCAAAACTCCTGAATCCCACTAGAAGTGATTCACCCATCAACAGATAAGGCTGGTCCACTCAACTTCAGAAAATTAAATAGTACTGACATTGGTTTTAGCTTTTTGACTTTTCCATTTCTAGAAAGCTTTGTAGGAAAAGATTGGTCGCCATTCTTCTAAGATACAGTGGATCCTCACTGATGCAGTCAGAGGCAGCCATGTGTGGTGGGAAAGGACATAAGTATTGAAATCACAGTTGTCTGCTCTTTCTGAGTTGCTGATTCCTCCTCTGTGATATGGAGATTATAATATGCACATGACTTCATGGAGGAGAGATTAAAGGAAAACTGTGGCTAGTGCACCAGCCCGGCATCTGGTATGCTGTGGTTACCACAGGAGTGTTAGTTTCTTTATTTAAACTGAAAATCCAAAATGAACCTTAATTTAGTGTTGAGTGGGGAGGAAGGGTAAGAGGCTGAGGATTGTGGTGGAACTGAGAAATGTGGTTACTTTTCTGTTTCGAATTTGGCTGAGTGGTTTTGTTGAATGGGAGAAATTTCCTGAACAAGATAGATTCTTTGGCAGAAGGAAAAGTAGGTTACAGAATTTAGTTGTGGAAATAGTGTGTGAGGAAAGTACAGACTGGGGGGGGTAGGAGTATTGAATTTAGAGTCTGGGCTTTGTGGAGTGAATAAAGGGGAGTGTACATGTCACTGAACTCATGCTTTTCCTTAAGTTATCTGTTTTCAGAGCAGTGGAATTTTTCATCAGAGATAAATATGAAAAGAAGAAATACTACGATAAAAATGCTATAGCTATTACAAATGTAAGTAAAATCCTCATCTCTATCACCAGTTGATGTTTGTTGAGTATATTTTGAAATTTTAACATGTGGCTCAATTTATTTATTGTAAAATTGTAAATTTGTAAAAATGTCCTGGTTACATACATTAAAAATTTGAACATTGGGAGTTTTTGTCACATAGTCAGCTTTCATAAAGCAGAACTCTTGATTCAGAAAGTAGCATCTTCTTAAGTAAGCGTCTAATAACTTCTTAAATGGCATTAAGTTAATTTTATGAAATCTGCGTAAAGACACTAATTGAAAAATTGAGGAGAGAAAATTATTTTATTGGACTGTGGAAACGAATGGAAAAGGCAAATTTGTCTTCTTCTAAGGGCCTTGGTGGATCTGACCAGATGTGTTTATTAAAATGCAGCATTTTTTCTTTTTTCCAGAACAGCTTTATCTTACTTTGGTCCAAAATAGAAAACACAGTTGTTTGCACTATGTTTGCAAACAATCAACAAGGGAGTCATGCATTAATTATTCTGATGAAATCATGATGCTGCTCCTGTTTATAATCATGATGCTGCTCCTATTTATCTGTGTTTATCACAGCACCTTCCCAGGTGGTGCTGGTGGTAAGGAACCTGCCTGCCAGTGCAGGAGGCATGAGACGCAGGTTTGATCTCTGGGTGGGGAAGACCCCCTGGAGGAGGGCATGGCCACGCACTCTAGCATTCTTGCCTGGAGGATTCCTGTAGACAGGATAGCCTGGTGGGCTACAGTCCGTAGCTTTACAGATAGTCGGACAGTACTGAAGTAACTTAGCATGCATGAATCGCAGCACCAGGTGGTCTTATGGGAAAGTGCTTTAAAGCCTGAGTGCCTGAGAAGCAGATGCCTCTTTAACGTGAAGTGTCCCCTATCAGACAAGCTTTTGTTGACCTTTTTCCTGCACACGATGAGCGAAAACATAGCCTTTTAATTGGTTATTATCAGGCTTTTGTTCCCTAATAGTTGAGACCTTGCTGTAGTGATCAAATATGTTTTATTACTGTTTCTTTTTAAGTTTCTTTTTTTGATAAATTTTCTTATCCCAGTTAAATACCATTTAAGGCTAGTTGTCTCTGTTGTTGCAGTCATTTTTCGGGGGAGGGGGTCTTTGATTCCTCAGTTCAGTCTCTCAGTCATGTCCGACTCTTTGCGACCCCATGAACCACGCAGCACGCCAAGCCTCCCTGTCCATCACCAACTCCCAGAGTCCACCCAAACACATATCCATCGAGTTGGTGATGCTCTCCAACCATCTCATCCTCTGTCATCTCCTTCTCCTCCCGTCTTCAATCTTTCCCAACATCAGGGTCTTTTCCAGTGAGTCAGTTCTTCACATTAAGTGGCCAAAGTATTGGAGCTTCAGCTTCAGCATCAGTCCTTCCAATGAATATTCAGGGTTGATTTCCTTTAGGATTGACTGGTTTGACCTCCTTGCAGTCCAAGGGACTCTCAAGAGTCTTCTCCAACACCACAACTCAAAAGCATCAATTCTTCGGCACTCAACTTGCTTTATGGTCCAACTCGCACATCTGTATGTGACTACTGGAAAAACCATAGCTTTGACAAGATGGACCTTTGTTGGCAAAGTAATGTCTCTGCTTTTTAACATGTTGTCTAGGTTGGTCATAACTTTTCTTCCAAGGAGCAAGTGTCTTAATTTCATGGCTGCAGTCACCATTTGCAGTGATTCTGGAGCCCAAGAAAATAAAGTCTGTCACTCTTTCCACTGTTTCCCCATCTCTTTGCTATAAAGTGATGGGACTGGATGCCACCGTCTTAGTTTTCTGAATGTTGAGTTTTAAGCCAACTTTCTCACTCTCCTCTTTCACGTTCATTGAGAGGCTCTTTAGTTCCTCTTTGCTTTCTGTCATAAGGATGGTGTCATCTCTGTATCTGAGGTTATTGATTTTTCCCAGCAATCTTGATTCCAGTTTGAATCAAGATTCCATGAACAGTGAACATCTTAATTTTAAAAGTGGCCAAATCAGTTATCATCCTCTCAGGAGGAGAAAAAATACTTCTATAGTGAATTATCTTGAATTAGTAACACTCGGCATATTAAGTGCCTTTATTTCTTTGTTATATTTTTATGTTCAGCTTTTACATAAATTTGGGCAAAAAGGTCTTTATGATACAGGTTACCATCTTAAGTGATTTTATGTGCTTTTCCTAATCTCTTGTTTTCTCCATATCTCTAGCAGGGAAATGTCCAGTGGGATGATTTAGTTTTGCAGCTAGTCTTTAAGGCACAGTTTGTCTTATTAAATATTTTCTTCTATGTGTAATTTCAGTTAGTTGTCATTGAATGGCTAGTTTGTATACTTTTAACAGAGCTAACAGTGTGCCAGCGAAGACCCTCTAAAGATTATGGGCTTGGGTTGTGGTTCAGAATTGGCAGCCATAACTAACTCAGTAACAGGCAGGTTGAATGAGAACTTAGCATCTCACATTGTTACTTTGACATTGCGTAATGACCTTTCTGTAATAGCACCTTTTATTTTTAAAGACTCCTCATAGGCACTATTGATATGATAGAGCAATACAGAGATGTCAGTTTAACAGCTCCAAAGATCTACTACACATTTTGTAAACGTATTTCAGTTATATTTTGGCAGTAAAGAGAGCAGGAAGATTATGCTTCCATTAAAGTGATAACCATGCTTGTAGGAATTGGGTAAGATGACTGAAAAGACTTTTAGGTGAAGTTATCTCTGTGTAACTGCCTTTGCACATGTAACTGTCTGACAGTGCTTTGGGGCAGTTCCGCCAGCGCAGCCCCGGGGGTGGTGGTTGTGGGCACGGGGCTCCAAGAAGCCAGTGTACACACGGCTTTATAGTAAGCCTGCTGCTTAGCTGTTACACCGCCTTAATTCACTCTTTCTGCTCCCAGCCTTCTTTCTGTTTTCTTAAACAGTTGATTAAAATGTTCGTTAACTTTTACTGTTTCAGCTCTGTGTTACTTTCCATTCTTAAAGCAATTATGGTCAGTGGGAACAAGATCTCATTCGTGCTCTCCAGCCACTTGGAACAGCGTGTCAGAGCGTGAGCACTCGGGCAGTAACACTGACGGAAAGAGAACCGCCAGACACGCTTAATTGTTTCTCAGATACTTAGGGGATGATCTTGTCTGAGTGCATTTTAAATTTTATGTTAGAGTGAAATGCATTTTAAATCATACACTTTTTTGTAATAAATACTTTTGCCTACAGAAGTACTTTAAAAGCAGCACTCTTCTTGGTGCATTACTTTCCTTTAACATATTTCTAAGTGCTTCTGTAGCTCAGAAATGCATGAGTGTTTCTTTCCTGTGCCTGTAATTCTGATTCCTTTCTTTTTGTTTTTCCCTCCTGACTTCCCACCTGCATTCCACAGATTGCCTCCTCTGATGCTCCTCTTCAGCCTTTGGTATCCTCTCCTTCTCTACAAGCTGCTGTTGAGAAAAACAAATTGGAGGTATGGTGGTGTTCTAGCCAGCTGTGTCCATGCACTCGGTGTGAACGTGCCATCATTTGGGATGCTGTAATAGTTGTTTATGCTTTGAATGGTCTCCAGTATTAAGTACATTAAATACAATACTTTTAAGACCACTTTCCTATGCTACAGGTAGGATTAAAGAGCTTTAATCTTTATTTAATTTCAGAATGACTAATTTATCGGTACCATAGATATATCTCAGCATTTAATAAGCAATTAGTTTTTTGCTGTTGTTTCCATTGCCACCTTAGGCTTAAAGGAACTTTTCTGTAATTGCTGTTGAATTCTTTGATTTACTGGGAAGAGACTCTGGTTGAAATTGTTCCTTCTATGACTCTGTCACTGTCAGCTCTTGAAGAACGTTGGTGTCATGTTGCCGTTTAAGCTGCGGTGGCCATCGCACGATGCAGCGTGCGCGTGGAGTCACGGCTGCAGGGTGGTGGCTGTGGGGTGTGTGGGCGGGAGTGGGGAGGGGGCGCGGCGCTGCGCCACTGTGGGCTTCAAACTCGTCCCCAGAGAGCTGTGGGGTGTGTGGGCGGGAGTGGGGAGGGGGCGCGGCGCTGCGCCACTGTGGGCTTCAAACTCGTCCCCAGAGAGCTGTGGGGTGTGTGGGCGGGAGTGGGGAGGGGGCGCGGCGCTGCGCCACTGTGGGCTTCAAACTCGTCCCCAGAGAGCTGTGGGGTGTGTGGGCGGGAGCGGGGAGGGGGCGCGGCGCTGCGCCACTGTGGGCTTCAAACTCGTCCCCAGAGAGCTGTGGGGTGTGTGGGCGGGAGTGGGGAGGGGGCGCGGCGCTGCGCCACTGTGGGCTTCAAACTCGTCCCCAGAGAGCTGTGGGGTGTGTGGGCGGGAGCGGGGAGGGGGCGCGGCGCTGCGCCACTGTGGGCTTCAAACTCGTCCCCAGAGAGCTGTGGGGTGTGTGGGCGGGAGTGGGGAGCGGGCGCGGCGCTGCGCCACTGTGGGCTTCAAACTCGTCCCCAGAGAGCTGTGGGGTGTGTGGGCGGGAGCGGGGAGGGGGCGCGGCGCTGCGCCACTGTGGGCTTCAAACTCGTCCCCAGAGAGCTGTGGGGTGTGTGGGCGGGAGCGGGGAGGGGGCGCGGCGCTGCGCCACTGTGGGCTTCAAACTCGTCCCCAGAGAGCTGTGGGGTGTGTGGGCGGGAGTGGGAAGTGGGCGCGGCACTGCACCACTGTGGACTTCAAACTCGTCCCTAGAGGTAGTGGAAGGTTTTTATTTTTTTGACTCTTTTTATCTTTTTGTTGTTGTTATAATGACCATAGTGAATTTGAGACATCCTTTGCCTCACACTTTTTCTGTGTCTCCTCATTGCTAAATGACCTCTGCTGTGGAGACACCTCCATCTAACAGAGGAAGATGGGGACCTTCACAGGGATGTCTGACACAGCCGAATGGGGGCTGTGATTGCTGAGCCCTCACGGCGCCGCTCTGGCCCAGGGCCCGCCCTCTAATGCGTCTACACTCTTCCTGGACGTTCACTGTGAGGACTGGGGTCAGTCGGAGCAGAGACAGCATCCTGTGAAGAAAGCCTGCGGGCAGAGCAGGCTGAGCAGGGTCTGCGGGAGAAGGCAGGCTGGGGCACCTGTGGCCAGGGGAGATGTGGGGGAGAAGCGTCCTGGGAGCCCGTTGGTGAGTCTGGGCTTTGACCCGAGGGCCCTGGCTCCTCAGTGCCTTCCACGGGCAGAACGAGCATCCGGAACCGATTCTCACCTCTGAATTGTCTGCTCCAGAGAGGGAACTTTCTTCTGCTGGATGTAGAAGAGGCCTGAGGACCTGTTGCTCTGGCTCGGGTAGAATGATGGGAGCATTCTATCTGGACTGGAGGCAGAGGGAGTGGAAGGGAGAGTGGTCGTCAAAGACCCGGAGCAGGTCAGGTCCGTGAGGGGTGTGATGAGTGACTCCTGGCTGCAGGCCTGAGCATCTCAGCAGATGATGCGCTGTCCAGGGAGAAGGGATCCAGGCTGAGGAGGAGGAGCAGCTTTGAGGTGAGACTAGGGAGGCGGTGGACTTCAGAGTTGGGTATGTTGAGTGTGAGGTGACCGAACAGCGGTGAGGGGTCTGGCAGGAGGTTGGGGACACAGGTCTGGAGGCCGAGGAGAGAGCCCGGTCAGAGGAGTGCGGCCCGCGGACTATGTGCTAAGTGGAGACATGAAAGCGGAAAGCTGGGCACACTTGAACCTCACTGCACAGCCAGGGGGCCCCCAGGAGACAGTGAGGGCTGGTTTGGGGCGTGGAGGGTGTGGTTGGAGCCGGAGAGACTCGGGTGGTCAGGAGCAGAGACGGAGCCCTGCAGGAGGCGGAGGGGGCCTCGAAGGTGTGGAAGGGTGGCCGTGGTGCCTGTTCAGAGGGTGGAAACCCTCAGGTCACAGGTCTGCTGTGTGTCGCTGGCCGCCAGGTCCTGGAAAGCGGGGTCTCACCTGACCGAGCGACGTCATCTTGCCTGACAGCATTTAGACACCAGGGGGCCCTTCAGGACAGTCTGTCAGAAAGTTTATTCATGCTGTTTTTTTCTTACCCTCTTAAAATTTCTAATTTTCCTTATGTTTTATAATGTGTATAATAGAGTATTATATGTGCTTTACTAATAAATACATACATATATTGAATATGTATGTGCACAACATTTTAAGACAGAAGTGTATAATAAAAAGCTTTAGAGACCTTATCTTTAATGAACCCAAGATCTACTTTTCTTTGCCGTATAGGACTTGAACACTTTTTCCTGTTCTCTTTTGCAGAAGGTCTCCTATTTCACTATATCATTTGACTATGTAATAACCAAATTTCAGGAACTACTGTTTTGAAATATCAAACGCTGCTGTGTTTTATTCTTGCTGAGAAAATAGTTTAAAACAACTTAGATTCTCACAGTACTCTGGTCTTTCAGCAGCTTTTGATTCTAAAGATGGGTGTTATCTGTAGGTCAAACTATATGATCTGCGTTTAGAGCACCCGCCCTTTTTTTTTTGAGAAAACATAGAAAATGAAAGTTTAATAATGCTCACTAAACGTTAGGGTCCTAGAAAGGTCTACCACTGGTGCATCTTAGCTTATTTATAAGATTTTGAGTATTGCTTGTTTCATAGAGTGGTTAAAACTAATCTATTCAGAGCATATTTATCTACCTTTTCTAGCAGCTCTGGTTTTGAGGCATTCCCAGGAGAGAGAGAGAGATTTGTCTCCCAGAAAGAATTTACAGAAATTTTTCAGGTTTCTGTTCATCCTACTAAGAGCCAAAGAAGAAATAGCAACTGCTTTAACAACTCATCAGAAGCATCGATACTAAAGATTTATTTTCTCCAACCTAAAAATATATATATATATTTCACCATTCCCTTTGGAAACATATCTTAAATAGGCCAGTCACCTGATGAGTTGCCTGGCTTTAAGTTCCTTATTTTTGTCTCCTTTCTTTATTATTAAAAATAATTTTTTTGTATTTATACTTATTTTGTATCGAGGCATAGCCTGTTAACAAACAGTGTTGTGGTAGTTTTAGGTGAGCAGAGAAGGGACTCAGCCGTACGTGCACTACATGTGTCCTTTCTCCCCTCGACCCCCCTCCCATCCACGCTGCAGCATAGCTGAGCGGAGCCCCTTGTGCTGTACCGTAGGCCCTTGTTGGTTGTCCGTTTTAACCATTGCAGTGAGCACACATCCATCCCAGACTTCTACTTATCCCTTCCCCCACCCTCCCTCTGCCAACAACCATGAGTTCCTTCTCGAGTTGGGAGTCTGTTTCTGTTTTGTAGGTTCATTTGTGTCATTTCTTTTTAGATTCCACATATAAAGGATGTCACATGATATTTTTCCGTCTCTAACTTACTTCACTCAGTGTGACACTCTCTCGGTCCATCCGTGTTGCTGCAAATGGCTGTTTCACTCTTTTTGATGGCTGAGTAATACTCCATCGTCTGTATGTATCACGTCTCCTTTATCCATCCTCTGTTGGTGGGCATGCAGGTTGCTTCCATGTCTTGGCTGTTTTAAACAGTGCTGCAGTGAACATTGGGCACATGTATCTTTTGGGATCATGTTTTTCCCTGGATACATGCCGAGAAGCAGGATTGCAGAGTCATGTGGTCTCTCTGTTTTTAGTTTTTTAAGGAATCTCCATACTGTTCTCCATAGCGACTGTACCTGTTTCCATCCCCATCAATAGTATAGGATTCCCTTCTCTCCACACCCTCTCCAGCTTTTGTTGTTTGTGGATATTTTGATGATGGCCATTTTGGCTAGAACCCATATTTTTAATGTGACTTCAAGGCTCATGTCATAAAATTGTTGCTTACAGCCATGTTTTGACAACTGAAATTCCAGTGTTCAAGACATCAAATCGTGCTCTCCCTCAGTTAAACACAGCTAGCTGGTTTAATTTGGGTTTCCCTTGTGGCTCAGCTGGTAAAGAATCCACCTGCAATGCGGGAGACCTTGGTTCAATCCCTGGGTTGGGAAGATCCCCTGGAGAAGGGAAAGGCTAGGGAAAGATTTACTGAGCGTGGCCCTGCTCATCAGAACAAGACCCAGTTTACCCCACAGTCAGTCTCTCCCATCAGGAAGCTTCCATAAACCTTTTATCCTTATCTGTCAGAGGTCAGACCAGATGAAAACCACCATCACAGAAAACCAATCAAACTGATCACACGGACCACAGTCACATGAGCCACACCATGTTCTGACAAAACGTGATCCACTGGAGAAGGGAATAGCAAAACTTTTGGTATTCTTGCCTTGAGAACCCCATGAACAGTATGAAAAGGCAAAAACCCTAAAGGAAACCAGTCCTGAATATTCATTGGAAGGACTGATGCTGAAGCTGAAACTCTAGTAATTTGGCCACCTGACGGGAAGAACTGACTCATTGGAAAAGACCCCGGTGCTGGGAAAGATTGAAGGTGGGAGGAGAAGGGGACAGCAGAGGATGACATCACTGACTTGATGGATTTGAGTTCGAGTAAGCTCCGGGAGTTGGTGATGGACAGGGAGGCCTGGCGTGCTACAGTCCATGGTGTCGGAAAGAGTCGGACACAACTGAGCGACTGAACTGAACTGGTTTAATTGATTTTTGGTGATTTCAGCTGTACCCACCAGTCGTGGTGATGAGAGACGGGCTTCTTCCCCCTCTCATGACTGTGACATCCCTGATAAATAACTAAGAGCTTTGAGAGGCTGCAGGACCATCCACCTCCAGCATGTTGGTGAGGATGTCCAGTTACGTTGCTTTCCTCCCTATACTTGACTGGTGTCTGGACAACATTTCATGACACCTGAAGGACTTTTGCACATCCTGTTTATTTGTCACTTGCACAGTGGCGGTGATAGTCCTTACCTCGGAAGGACCTTGTGCGGGTCTCAGCGAGGCACGCGGTGTCGAGCCCTCGAGCGGGGCTCAGGAGGTGCCTGCTGTCCCATGGGGAGGACGGCGTGGGAAGCAGAGCCCACTGGACGGCCGCGAGCACGGAGGCTCTGCGGCCCTTCCGCCCTGCTGCCGTCGGCTCTGCGGCACTTCCTGAGAGTTTGTTTCTGCATTTGTAAAGTGGCTATCCTGACTTTCTTCCGACATTATTATAGACGTTAACTTAGACAGTAAGGTGCTTCTCACAGTGCCTGGCCCATAGGAGCTTGAATTATATCTCTGCCATTTTGGCCTGGGAATTGCTGGTATTGACTTTCCCAGTTTACAAATAGTAAAGATTCTTCTCTCGAGAGAGGTGGTGTCAAGCACCATTTTTAAAGGCACAGGTGCAGATGCAACATTTAGGCATTTTCACCAAGTTTCATGTGTTTATCATCCTGCCTTTTCTAGGTTCGGCAGTTTATCCTTTCATGTTTGGTACCAGGGAGCTAAGGTCTAGATCAGCACTCGGTTGCATTATCACCAGATTGCAGATTTCTGGCATCTCTTCCCTCCATATGCCTTACAAATGCTCGTTGTTTAATCTGCTTCATCTTCCTTTCCCCACCTGTTTATAGACCTTAAGTTTTTATTATTATATCTTATTTCATCCTTCTTGAAAATGCAAATTGTGAACTTTATAACATCATTATAGTTTACCTCAACTGGGTTGGATCAAATATGCAAACCAGTCATCTGGCTCTGGTCCCCAAGCACTGTCTTCAACATTATTTTCATGAGAAAATTATCATATTTGCCCTTTAAAAATATAACACTATGGTGATTGAAAAAAAATTAAAGTGATTTTGCATTTTTCTTCTCATGTTTACATGTTGTAATCTGCCTTCATCTGGTTGATAAAGAATTCTGTTTTATGAGTTAGTTTATGTTTTTTTCATATTCAAATTTCAGCTTCATGGTTGCTGTTAGGAAGCCTAACTTTATGTAAAGATGCAGTGAGAATTTATTGAATAGAAATTGCATTTGCTTTAAACAAATTCTGAAATATAAAAGAAGTTCTAAATTGTCTCATTTCTGTCTTAATTTTTAAGGAAATTTATTCTTTATTGTGTTATTAATGTACTTGATGACAGTATGAATTTGCTCTGCTTTCTTTCATATCTCAGTATCACTGAATAGTGTCATCATTGAAATTTGTACTCTATTCAAATGATGACTCCAACTAATAAAAATGTATGAAGAGCTGACATTTTTTAAAAAAAGTAAATTTATCAAAACTTTTGGCTGTGTTTTAGAAAGAAAAGGAAAAAAAAAAGGAAGAGAGAAAGAAAGAAAAGGAGCCAGAAAAGCCTACAAAACCTCTTACAACCGAAAAGGTAAAATCTCTTCTTCTTTTTAACCCACCCAGGTTACAACCTTACCTGTATAGTTATATATGGATGATTTGGTGATATTCATGATGTGCAATAATCATTCTTTCAACCAGTGTTTGTAGAGTGTGTCCTGTATCTGTCTTGCCCTGTACGACTTGTAATCAGGTACGTATGTGTGGGTACAGATTCCTGTGAGTTCCTCAAGGGCAGGTATTATTCCTGATGTAAAGAGCGGTGGTGTTAGCTTTCTTGCACTGACTTCACAATCAGGAAAGTTGAGAGAGTGCAGAAGGACCCCTGCAGAGGCCGTCAGAAGACACGCCACGCTGAGTGTAGCACCTGAGTGGACTGAAGTGTAGGTAGGGTTGAGGTTGTGAGGTGGGAGTGTGTCCCGTGGGGAGAACACCTCAAGGACATAGAAGCCGAACGTAGACAGAGTTTATTTAGCAAAAAGTGAGTAGTAGAGTGAAGAAAGATCTATGTCTGTGTATAGAAAGTTGTGGGAAAGAGGCCAGAATGGTAGATTAAGCTCAAATTGTAGAGGACTTTAAAGTCCAGATTGATTCTTTTTGAAGGAAAGGCTGTGGATTCTTTTGGAAGGTTCTTTTGCAGTGATGAGCAGGAGAGATGTGATCAGGCCTACGGATTTCTGTAAAGGACTTGGTTAAATAATCCTGGTGGCTTGGCTCTAAATGCATTTCCTCACACAAGAATGGATTATTAGTAAAGAGAGCATGTCCTTGATTTTAATTGTTGCAGTGTGAATAGTCGACTTTATGAAGGCATAAATTACACAGTACAAACTGCGTTCATTTGAAGTGTCCAAGTCAGTATTCACTGGCTCTTTTTCCATCACATTTATTAGAATAGCCTATACCTTCAGAGAGTTATAAACGTGCCTTCAGCATTTAAGACATGCTGCTAAGACTCCCAACGCTCGTCAGTCCTTTATGTAGCACCGCCCGCCCCCCCCCCCCCCCCCGTCCACCATCGGCACCTTCACCTCCCTCCTAGTGTGTGTCCCCTTAACCCCCGCCCCCTTCCCAGTACCAGGCAGACTTGTCTGTTGCCCCCTGAACACACTTCCCATCTCTCTTCACTGAACTGCCTAGCCAGGGCTGTCCTTTGCTCTCCCACAACTTACCTAGGCCTCCACCTTGTCCATGAAGGCCCTCTAACCACTCCAAGTAGATGCACTTTCTCCCTTCCTCAGAATTCCGGGGACATTGTCATACATTTGATTTTATTATTTCCTACCTCATTTGATTCTTTAATTATATTGTTAGATCAGTTTCTTTGCCTAACACAGGATGCATCCAGGTTTTGTTTCAGTCAGATGTTAAATATTATAAAACTTTTTATAAGGAGTGATTAAGTTAGTAATTATAATTCCAGTTACTTAAATGGCTTCAATTCTCCTCTGGAAACTTTCTCTTCTCAGTAAGAAGCTGTAAGTGAAATCTCTTAATAGTGTTCTATTTGATTACAAAGGAATTTAAAAATCACTGGTAGGTTTTATCTATGTTTCCAAAAGTTGGAAATGTCAGAGTTTATATAATGCCTTATTGTTGTACTTGGCAAGATTTAAAATTTAACCACTTTTGAAACATATTTTTTTCTCTTTAAAAAAATGACCTTGTCTTTCGCTGTCTTGCGTGTAAGTGCCTGCCTTCCGTTGCCTGCTGTGGGAAGGGGCCGCCAGGTAGCTGTGAGCAGGCTCTGGATTGCGGGTGTGACAGGAACTTCAGGGTTGGGAACGGAGGAGATGGCATTCTTCTGTTACCTCTCCCTTCAGTGTTAGGTTTTATTAAACCCAGTTCACACCTCATCTGTTACTCTTGCTCATCCTGCAGAGTTCAGGACCCCTGCTGCTGCTGCTAGTGGGAACCTTGCTGAAGGAATGATCACCCACAGGGAAAAACTTCAGTTCCTGTCAAAATTGCGTGGTCAGGATAGTAGAAGCTGCATGAAAAGGAAGACAACGAGTGCATTTAACAGTCTGACAGTAGGGAAGCAGGGCCATGGCGCCAGTAAGCTTTCCTTCTTTCGCATTAGGTGTTTCTCCTTACCTTCTCTCTGAGCTGAGGTTTTCAGGGAGCTTGGTGTAATCTTGTTGTTGTTGTCTGGTCTCTAAGCTGTGTTCAGCTCTGCCACCACATGGACTGTAGCTCGCCAGGCTCCTCTGCCCGGAGGATTTCCCAGGCCGAGAATCCTAGAGTAGGTTCCATTTTCTTTTCTAGGTGAGCTTCCCAACCCAGGGATCAAACCCACGTCTCCTGCATTGGCAGGTGGATTCTTTACCACTGAGCCACCAGGGCAGCCCTCTTGAATAATCTACAGAGGAGAAATTAGTAGTAATAGCAGTGAAAATCGCATCAGTAGTAGTCAGAATAGCATCCTCATTAATAAGAAGGGATTGGCTTTATTGGCTATCTGTTATCTGCTGGGAACTGGGCTAGTGTACAGTTTGCATGTACACTTGTGCGTGTGCTCTTACAAGTGTGAAGTGACCGCCTTGTCTTATTCCTGACCTCAGAGGGACGGCTTTCAGCTCTTCACCCATGTGTGTGTTCTCTTTACTCTTTACAAAGACCAGTTATTGTTGGAGGTGGAGGAACCAAGAATCAGAGAGCATATATGATTTGGCTAATGTAATCTAGTTTAGTTAGATAGTTTATGGAGTTTGGAAAAATAGGATTTCACTTCTTTTATTAGGCAGAGCAGACTAAGCTCCATCTTGTATATCTTCATGCGTTTGAAAGAGGGATGCTTGATAGGGTTTATTTTTCCAGAATGCCTCCTTCTCAGGCCACTTCCTTCTACACATAATTAAAGCCGTTAACATGGACTTGACATGCAGCAGTGAGTTAATTAGCAGTTACTTGGAAGTGTGCTAATTGGGGGACTGGAAGGAACTTTGCTCTCGAGTCCAGATCTCTTATTTTATAAAGGAGTAGACTAAAACCTAGAAGGACATTGAGTCACTGAAAAGTGACTTGCTCAGTGCTAACAGTTGTTGGCAGTTAAGGGGTTTGAACCCAGGTTTTCTTTTAAGTCTCAAGTCGTGTGTGTGTGTGTGTGTGTTTTGATTTGACATATGTGCCCTCAGGTTGCTTTCTTACTGCAATTTTTTGTTCTTTTCTACATTCTACATCATTTTATAATGAACAGTCCAGGGTTCCCTAAAAAAGAATGGTGTTTGTATATAACCCCATCCCATATTGTCTTCTAACTAGTAGATTCGTAATTTTTATTGATTTCCTACCTTAGGGACTTCTTCCTTCTGTAAATACACTTGTTTTCCCTGAGCAGCCTACTACTTTTGTTTAAATTGTATTTTGTACTTAGGTCTCACTGAGGTTTATGTTACTGTGTTGTAAAAGCATCTATTACTAATGGGGTTAGCTGGAGCCAGCTCACTTTCTTTTCTGGGAAGAGGAAGGTAAAACCTAAAAATTTACTGAATCACGTGATTAATAGGGCAAGTGTTTTAGACATTTAAATAGATGTTCCATCTGTTGTGCTTTAGATATTCTGCTGGAAAATAGTGTATATATTTGACTTTTTCTAAAATATTCTGTCCTATGTTTGACATTTCTAATTCAGTTCATTTAGATTTATCTACTAGACTGTCTCCCAAGTAGCTGGTGATCTGTAAATATGTTTATGTAGATGAGAAGTACCCTATTATAGGAATGTACATGAGTTCTCTTTCAGTTTAAATAAGCAGATCTGGATTTCTCCTTTGGGAGGGTCTAAGTTTTACAGTTTTTCTTAAAGACGTGCATATCAAAACATGGAAAATGGACAGATAGTCAATTCTTGGGATGGAGAAATTAAATCCTTCTCAAGTAATTTAAAATAATAATCACAGTAGTAGTTCTGGTTTTATTGCTATTTATTACAATGTAGTTTATTATTGATAGAATTTATGTGTTAAGTTCTGCAACTTTTAAATTGTATGTTAAGAAAACTGTAGGGATCAGCAAATGTTTTTCTGTAGAGAGTAGTATACTAAATCTTTTAGGTCATAAGGTATCTTTCACAACTACTCAGCTCTTCCTTTGTAGCACACAGGCAGTAAACATGAATGTGTTCCAGTCAGTGTTAGAAGCAGGTGGCTGTGTTCGTTGAGACTTGGGAGAAGCAGGGTCAGGAGGAGAGTCAGGGTCAAGCCCGTGGTCTGGGTTCACTGTCCTCTTGGCAGAGTCAGTTAACTGCCTGGATCTGCTTTTTCCTCATTTATTAATAAGCCTTGCCTTGATGATCTCTTGTGATCCGTATGGTAATAAATAGTTCTAAATTTAGAATTACTTATTAAATCTATTGAACATAGGGACAGGTTCCTAAAATCATCTTGACTGTATCCTTAAAGATGGCCTTCACAGCTTCAGAGTTGGTTTTTAGTCAGTGAATTCTCTTTATTATTTCAGACTGATTTCTCATCCACCTTAGTTGCTATTGTTTCAATCAGCTATTCTTCCTGTTAAAAGACAAAGTCTAATTTAGGAAAAAAGTATTCAGTTCTTCCTAATGCTAGCTACTTCTGTACTTATATAGAACATGTATTTGTGTGTGTTTGTATGTGTGTGTATATCTGTGCGTGTCTGAATATATTATATTTCAGAAAATATGGCTTACTTTAAGGTATTGGGTATTTCTGTTTAGATACCTGTTGTACAAGTGTAAATGCATTATTTTATATGCAATGAGTATCTTAACAAAAAAATTTAGATTATTACATCAAAGTAAAGAATTTTATATTTTCATGGACTTTCTCAAGGTCTTTCTGAGATAATTAGGATGAGTTTAGTAATAATTATTCACCTATCTTGGAATATTTTAATGTTTTTATGAATTAAAATTTTTTAATATTCAAACTTTGATTATTTCTTTATTAAATATTACATGCTCTGTGTCGGAAAAAAATAAAATGTATAAATAAGCAAAACTTTAAACAGATACATAATTTCTTATAATCCCTCTACCTAATGATAGCTGTC